AAGAAAAAAAATATATATATATATATATATATATATATATATATATATAATATAATATAATATATATAATATATATATAAAATTATATAGAAGAGATATTTAAGAAGCTTCGATGTGATACGTTGCAAACGTTTCTCGTGTGTCAAACGTGTGTCGAACACGAATGTGTTTCTTTGCACAATATTTTTAGGATGTCTTTGAAGTAATATTTAAATTTTTGTTCACACGGACCTTCCTGTTGAAAGTATTACTCTCTATCCTTATGGTCAATCATCAAAATCTATTTATCAATTTTTTCAGGTACTCCTTCTAGACACGTTAATTTTTCTATAAACCTTAATGAAACGTGAACATTTAAATTAATTGCCAGAAACTAGATAGATAAATAATAATATTTATATTCAGGGTACAAATGGACCCCAACTTCGCCATCAGAGAGTTGATACACATAGTTCATATAGTCGTATCCGAATTAGGATTTTCATTCTAATTTCTCTCAAGTAAATTGTAAAAATACAGCTTTTTTTTGTATAATGTCCTGCATTTTTCGGCGTCAATTATGGTTGAATTTATATTGACGATAACTCCGCGAAAAATCATCGTAGAAAGATGACTCTTTTTTAAAAATTAAAGCTTGAAATCTCTACTTTAAGATAATGTTTCTGGATTTTAAGTTCGACGCCACCTTGCCACTGTAACCCTTTAAATGCGACGCCACGTTGTCACATTAAAAATTGCCAAGTTCAACGAGATGCACGTACATTGTAAAATTTGTTTCGGTGATGCCGTTTGCAGTCGAACGAAGTTCGATCCTTCCGCTTTAATTTCAAAACAAGAGAAACTTGACTGCGATTTTTTTGCGAAGTTACAGCACTTTAAAGTAACCCTTGCATTTCGCAAGTGATCCTCGTCGGTCGAAGTTGGCCAATTTTTGTTCAAAATTTGTCTACGCTATAATTTTGCCGAACAGTATACAGGGTGCCCCCAAAATATCTCGCAATCCAGAAATTAGGGTACCTGAGGTCATTTTAAGTAACTTTTTCCTTAGCGAAAATGCAATCCGTGGCTTTGTTTACGAGTTATTAACGAAAAACACTGACCAATAAGAGGCGAGCACGGCTGATGCGAGGCGGCCCAGTCAACGAGCGCACGAAGCCCAGTTCCGCTCATTGGCTCGGCCGTCTCGCGCCAGCTGATCTTGCCTCTCATTGGTCACTGTTTTTCTGTAATAACTCGCAAACAAAGCCGCGGATCGCATTTTCGCTAAGGAAAAAGTTTCTTCAAATGATCTCAGGAATCCCCTCCCCATTTCCGAATTACGGGACATTTTTGGGACACTCTGTGTAATTATAAGCATTCGCCAAAACAATGTCTAGTGGCTTTACGGAAATTTCGGGCACTGTACACGAACGAACGTGAAACAAGAATAGGTAGCAATAGCAGATCGTATCGAGGCTGAAGCAGTTTAGTCTATAATTATGGAACAATGGGGCTGGTTTTACCTCTGTTGGCTGTGTTCGTTGAGACTTGCGAAGCGTAGGGGCTGGTCGAACCGTTCTCGATGGCCGCGTGGTCAGTGTGAAGCCCTCCGCCACGGAGGATCCGATTCACGGAGGACACGGAGGGCAAGCTTTGGGGATCGCAGGCTCCTTGCCGGGCCAGCTGCTCACGGATCTCCCAGGCGAACATCGTCGGCTGTTCCTGCTTCATTCGTAGAATCTTTTTAACAACTGTGGGTGTGGCCACTTGCTGCAAAAGTAAAAAGCAGTTGGCAAGTGACCATCGACTGGAATACATAATTTCAAGCATTAACCTGGCGGCTGTTACTGCCTGGCCATCCCGCGCGATCAACGTTATCCTCGAAAGTGCTCTTAACACGAGAGTATCAATTCTGTCGTTTACGATCGTGTTACGATCGCCGCGTAAATTTTTGGCACACCAGTAAAATTACCTCGCTAAACACTTTATCTCGCCGTTTGATCCTTACGTTGCACGCTACACTTTCTGGTCATTTTATTTGCCGTTCATTAGCGCCGATTTCTAGGTCTCCCGCAGAACTTGGTTTTAATTAATAATTAGAAACGTGTGCGGAGAAATTCGTAGTTCCGAAACGAGCCCGGCCACTTTGGATTTAGTTTCTTCATTCGCATGAATCTTCCTAAATGCAGCGAAATTTGCTTCTAATTAATAAGTGAATGGACAGATGCTTAAGAAACGCAATTACGCGAATCCATTGTTATCAACGGTTCCGTCGTTTGTTCCGCGATTTCATAAATTAGTTTACAATGCCAAGAATTCAGAGACGAGTCATTTCTCTGCCGCTTCTTTCGATGTATTACAGGTTTTGCAGTCCAAAATTAATCCTTTTGTACATCATATTCACTTTTTTGTAAATGAAAATCTTTTTTCAATCGTTTTGCAAATTAAATTCGCTTATTTGCAATTATTTGTTATAAAATTTAGATTAAATTTACAATTTGAATTATATTTCATAAATAATCGTTGAAGATTAACGAACAGTAGTTATTTGTAACGAAATTTGTATTATGAACGAGTGTATATATAAATTCCTGTTAAATTTAAGCATTGAACAACAAGCGAGCAATTTCGATCTGTGAAGCGGTTAATTTTATTTCGTCAATATGGTGTGCAAAATAATTAACTTTGCAGTTCTAAAAGGTGAATATGATCTACAAAAGAATTAATTCGGTGCTCTGAAAGGGGTGAATATGATCTACAGAAGAATTAACTTTGAAGTATAAAAGGTGAATATGATCTGCAAAAGAATTAACTTTGCAGTTCTAAAAGGTGAATATGATCTGCAAAAGAATTAACTTTGCAGTTGTAAAAAGTGAATATGATCTGCAAAAGAATTAACTTTGCAGTTCTAAAAAGTGAATATGATCTACAGAAGAATTAACTTTGAAGTCTAAAAGGTGAATATGATCTGCAAAAGAATTAACTTTGCAGTTCTAAAAGGTGAATATGATCTGCAAAAGAATTAACTTTGCAGTTCTAAAAAGTGAATATGATCTACAGAAGAATTAACTTTGAAGTCTAAAAGATGAATATGATCTGCAAAAGAATTAACTTTGCAGTTCTAAAAGGTGAATATGGTCTGCAAAAGAATTAATTCGGTGCTCTGAAAGGTGGACATGATCTACGGAAGAATTAATTTTGAAGTATAAAAGGTGAATATGATCTGCAAAAGAATTAACTTTGCAGTTCTAAAAAATGAATATGATCAGCAAAAGAATTAATTCGATGTTCTAAAAAATGAATATGATCAGCAAAAGAATTAATTCGGTGTTCTAAGAGGTGAATATGATCGGACGAAAAATTAATTTGTGGTTCTAGAATGTGAACGTGATCTGAGCGAAAGTATAAATTCGAAGTGTCTTCGAATTGAAGATATTTTCAAATTCTACTTCGAAGCTCGCGGTTGATTCCGAACGAGTCGTAAAACAGGACGAAGAATGGCGGGCTAAGTAAGAGAACGTAAAGGACGTTTTATGGGTCCCCCGAAGTAACCACGTGTCGCGTCCCTTTCGCGTTGCTCAAATTGTCGACGTGTTTAACGTCTGCACAGATCGCCGGATAATGCGATAAGTAAGGAAGCTAAATTTGGGAATCGTCGAAATCTTCGGGTAAAATCGACGGAATAAGGACGACGGCGCGGCGGTGGGATTGAAACAGTGTTATGGGGCTGTGCCACCTGATGTTCCCCCGGAGGGGTGATCCATATCGCGGCCATTTCCGAAACTTAAACGTTGATGCCCGCGATCCTCGCCCCGATATGACACGATGTTATCGATTCAATAGCGTAATTCGAGTTCCATCGATCCGACTCGCAAGATTTTGTCTCGCGTACCTCTTTAGTTCGTTTGCTACCTTTTTTTCTTCTTCTCTCGTCGATCAAAAAACAGTGATGCAACCGGCCCGATCGGGCGTACACAGGTTTCTGATTTCTTCGCAATATATTCCGATTAAGATCGCTGCAAAATCCTACACAGCCATTTACGATCTTGATTTGTGTTTTTGATCATTTTCGCTCATGATCGCGCATGTACAATTCAATGAGCCATTTAAATGTAACTTTTTATCATACGTTTATGTACGTTCCCTTTATTTTTGTACAAGTAGCTGTCCGGCGAACGAAAACCTGAGCTGAATGTTTCTTAAAGTAATCGTTGTTTAATTCAATAAACGACATTATCGTGAACTGTTTTCAGGCCGAGTTCGTACACCCTTGAAAACAATTTTAGCATTTCTTCATAGTTATAGCCTTTTGTCGAAGTGTAATATAAGATTTAGCGAGGCATACGATGGATTTTTACGAAATGGCATCTTCAAGACATCTGTAGTTGTATAATAGAACTACATCAATTTTAACCCTTTGCACTCGAAGTTATTTTAACTTTAAGGTATTTCTTCCAACGTGTACTATCTTGAATTTGTAATATTTTCGTATTGCATGAACGTGAAAGTGATCTTATTTTTGCTCGTACGATACATTTTAAACAGCTCTTTAAATATAAGCGAATTTTATAACGCAAACGTTGCTTTAAAAAATAATACAACAATTTCTACTCTGGTGTCCCAGAATCGATATCCGAGTGCAAATGGTTGATCTAAAAAAAAAAGGTATTTATTAGAAGATCTCTAAAATCTTAAGAGCTTGTGTATTTCACTTCTTTTGCATAACATTATTTAACAAAACCTCTTCGAAAATTACAACGCTAAATGAATATAAATCGAGTCAGAAGCGCCAAAACTCGAAGAGTCCATTGATTAGCCACGATTAACAGCTTCTACAAATTCTCCATTTTGGTAAACAACTTGTGCTTTTGTCAATAATTAATTTTAGATTGAGTACAGTTAGTAGAAGCTACGATGTTGAACGATCGCGAACGCAAGTTAGAAGTTCCCGAGTCGATGCGACCGCTGGGACGGTTGCCGATTATTATTAACCCGGTCATTTTTCGTGGCGTGCGGTGAGCCCGCGTTATCTCATCGACAAATTAACCCGAAAGTACCTAGTCACACTGTCGTCGAAATGGACAGGCAGGGGCCGCGGCCACATGTCGTTCACAGGTGAAGCACGTTAGCCCGGGAATCAGATAACGGGAAGGTCCCAAAGGTAGGCGGGCAAAGGGCCCGGCCACTTTGCGATTTATCGTGCGACGAGTTGTTATGACGGATAGCGACGGTTAGTCGGAGCGACTGATATTTTCTCACACGCTCAACGGACAAGCAATGAAACCAACGTCGAGAAACTAACCACCGAATGTTCTTCGACGGGTCGCAACCTTCAATTTCGATTCGATTGATAAAAGCGTCGCGGGAGAACCGATCACCGTACTTTCTCAACCGAACACCGAACGATCTGTTTTTTTTTTTTTTAAAGAACACGATTTTTCGGAGCCTCCTGCAGAAATTAGCGCAACGATTTTTTACCACCACGCGCTAACGAAGTTTTCGGAGAAATTAATGGTTGACGGAATGGTGGTCGCTCGACGCAAATGTACAATTGTTCGACATTGAAATTGACGACTCGAGTGACGACTCTGAGGCGCCACTAGAAATTGGTTATTTTTCAAAATCATTGTAAAAGCATTAGATTCGTTTATATTTAAACTGCATTGTACTTGCCAATAAGCTCAATTTCATACGCATAAATCGCAATAAATTATATAAAATAGAAATATCGTAGATCGGAAAATGTGTTTTGGATTTCGAATTCAAACAGCTTCGACTGCAAAGGGTTAAACAAAATCATGTTTTACCAGAATCATGTTCTGGGAGAGAGAAGAAACTGCGAGAAAATTGCAACGAAATTACAACAAGATTACAGCAAGATCGCAACAAAATTACAATAAATTGCGTAAGACATGTATTTTTAAACGAGGCGTTTGTTTAAAGAAGAAGGACTCGATCGATTTTTTTTCAGACGAAATTCTCCAAAATCGAGTTCCGGCCAGACTGTTAACCGGGCCACAACCACTTAATTATTTTCGCAAAATCTGTAGTTTATTGAACCTTATAGGTGCACAGACTGCGGCTATCGTTCGAGCAAGCACCGTGGCAAAATTGCATCGTACTACACGTAGTAACGCGTACCCGTGTTTTATTACAGTTTAGCCCCGGTTTACCGGAGGGCTCATCTGCTCCTCCGTCAGCCCGTGAGTTCCGTTCGCATGGGACCGGGGGCTCGCGGGACCCAGGGGCCCGTGTCAGTGGTGCTCAATCCGTGCGACGTTCATTTGACTTGCTAATGAACGCGGGCCCTCGGATAATTTTATGCTAACGCGATGGAAATGTTATTCGACGTACAGATTTTCGAGATCGCCGATTTCACCGAGCCACGAGCCAGGGGAGAACGATATGGTCACGGGGGGCCCGATTTTCTGCGTGCGATCCTCTACATGTCGGGGTCATTGGCTAGTCATACTCTGTGCGATGGTTTTATATTTTTTTTTCGATACCCCGTTAATTTTTCCACTTCGCGTACTCGACTTCTGAAATTAGATTTACTATCACCATTATCTTTATCAATATTATAATTATATTTTTACTACAATGATTTTCGTGACTTTTTCATGATTTATCGTTACTTGTTATTGTCAGTATCATACCTGTATGTGTTTCTGTATGTGTTAACATTTTTCGAGTGTTCGAATGGTAATTAAATTTATTATCTATTATACCGCGGATTTTTATGCAAAATAAAAATTGTCTGCATTAATTGC